AGAAGAAGTTGTTTAAAGTTTTTAACATATTTGACCCCTGTGACCTTGAAAATAGATGAAGGTCATTTATTTGAACAAACTTGGTAGCCCTTTATCCCAGTTTGCTTCTGGCCAAATATCATCACCCTAGGCCTTTTGGTTATTAAGAAGAAGTCGTTTAAAGTAAAATATTGACGCCGGACGACGGACGGACGACGGACGGACGGACGGACGGACGACGGACGCCGCACCACGGCATAAGCTCACTTGGCACTTCCTGCCAGGTGAGCTTAAAAACAACAGGGTGTGAGCCTTTAAATGGGGGTCAATTGACAGGTATGGAAAGCAGGAAAGGCTGGAATAATAAGAGCATAGCTCTTTAATGGGTAACACTAATCATTCTTTTTGTGACCACACGGAAGCACGCAGAGGATTTAATTCTTAATGTGGGAGGAAGCCGGAGTATCCGGAGAAAACCCACGTGGTCGGGCAGGTAACCGGGGTTGAATCCGGCCATCTTGGTGAAGATGAGCGCGCTATCCACTGTGCCGACCGACCCATCATACACGTTACGCACAAGAACAACTATCTGCTTTAGCTTTGAAAATGGCGTCATTGATGCAAAAATTAAATTGTGTATACATTTTTACCAATCATCAACGATGCAAAAAATCTACATATGGGAGACTGGGGAAAGTTGGGCCAGTACCCCTGATATTTTTGTTTTTGAGCTAATATTTATAAGTTTAAAGATCTTAGCAGTTTAGTTGGCTAGGCATTCACAGGAAAAAATGGCAAGGAAAACTCTAATGTAAAATTACTAAACAAATTACTTTTAAGAAGAAAATCATGATTTCGCTTCTAGTGATGAGAACTTTCGCTTAATTTTTTTTTACGGTCAAGCGTGTAACACACTGACAGCTTCAAATGATATACATGGACATAAAAGCAAAGCCAGACACTCACTACCATATTGCTGTACGATAAGAATTTATTGAAATATCAATTTGGGCCCAGACAGTTTCAGTCAATGATACCGTGGCAAGTTCGGCCCATGTAACACATAAAAAGTTGAAAAGTTGGCGGTAAAATCTGACGTTGCATGCTTTATATCGTCATAATTAAGCTGATTCCAATGGGCCCGAACTTACCTGAATGCCGACAGGTAAAAATTAAATAATGTTAAAAAACGGACTTGCTGCCATACTTCCCAGAACGGAATTTAATAACAAGAGGCCCAATGGGCCTGCATCGCTCACCTGGTATAAATCTCACACTTGTAACCTCAAAAGTGATCTAAAATAAAGCTACAGGCAAAATAAAATATCAGTATTTATGATTAAAATTAATTCAAAAGAACCTGTTATTTTTTTTTCCAAACATTTCACCCCTGTGATTGAAAGTCGAACAAAGTCATTATGTTGAACAAATCTTATAGCCTTTCATCTCAGGATGCAACTTGCAATATATCAACATCCTGGGACCCATGGTTATTCAGAAGAGGTCGTTTAAAGATTTTAAACAAATTTGACCCCTGTGACCTTTAACAAACATAGTAGTCCTTGATCCCAGCATGCTACTGACTAAATATCAACATCCTGAGCCTTTTGGTTATTCAGAACAAGGTTTTTTTTATTTATTTTTTTATATTTTGAACATATTTGCTCCTTGTGACCTTGAATATGATTCAAGGTCATACATTTACACCAACTTGGTAGCCCTTGATCCTAGTATGCTACTGACTTCATATCAGAAAAAGTTGTTTAAAGTTTTTAACATATTTGACCTATGTTACCTTGAATATGGGAGAAGGTCATTCATTTGAACAAAATTTGTAGCCCTTCATCTCAGAATGCTACTGGCCAAATATCATCTCCCTGTGCATTTTGGTTATTCAGAAGAAGTTGTTTGAAGTTTTTGACATATTTGACCCCTGTGACCTTGAATATGGGTGAAGGCCATTCATTTGAATACACTTTGTAGCCCTTCATCGCAGCATGCTACTTGCCAAATATCATCACCCTGTGCATTTTGGTTATTCAGAAGAAGTTGTTTGAAGTTTTTGACATATTTGACCCCTGTGACCTTGAATATGGGTGAAGGTCATTCATTTGAACAAACTTTGTAGCCCTTCATCTCAGCATGCTACTGGCCGAATATCATCACACTGGGCATTTTGGTTATTGAGAAGAAGTTGTTTAAAGTTGTTAACATATTTGATCCCTGTGACCTTGAATATGGGTGAAGGTCATTCATTTGAATAAACTTTGTAGCCCTTCATCTCAGCATGCTACTGGCCAAATATCATCACCGTGGGCATTTTGGTTATTCAGAAGAAGTTGTTCACAGGTTTTTTAAGACAATTGACCCCTGTGACCTTGAATATATTTGAAGGTCATTCGTTTGAACAAACTTGGTAGCCCTTCACCCAAGCATGCTACTGGCCAAATATCATCTCCCTGGGCAGTTTGGTTATCGAGAAGAAGATGTTTAAAGTTTTAAACATATTTGACCCCTGTGACCTTGAAAATGGGTGAAGGTCATTAATTTTAACAAACTTTGTAGCCCTTCATCACAGTTTGCTTCTGGCCAAATATCATCACTCTAGGTCTTTTGGATATTAAGAAGAAGTCGTTTTAAAGTAAAATATTGACGCCGGACGGACACCGGACACCGCGCCACGGCATAAGCTCACTTGGCACTTTGTGCCAGGTGAGCTAAAAATGGGCCGACTTTGCCCCGATCTCCCCTATTGTTGTGTAGGTCTTAATCTCATTAGAGTTTATATTTTATTGTTATCACTTGACTAGCCGATTTTTTTTTATTTATCTTGCCTCATTCTAAAAGCTGTATTATCTCATTATAAATCAGTAAGTATCAGAGATCAACAAAAGCTTCGCTCTTTTACAGCATGTAAGGCTTTGCCTTTTCATATTATGAACACAAGTATGACAAGATATATTTTATTATTGATTTTCATTAAACATGGCATGACACTATTTTTGCACATACATGATATATTGAACACGGCCACGGTACCTCCCTGTCCATGAACAGGTACAAAATCTTTAAGTTCTGTCTATATTACAATTACTGTTAAACACATCTCACTGAATTACTTCATATATTTGTGTACATGTACTGGAGTATACATTTCCCTGTGGACACCTTTATAGCTTATTTAATGAGAATTTAAGTCTGGACACTGATGTTTGACCAGAAAGACAATCCAGGAATCCAGTAGTAGATTGACTATATTATATATTCATACAGTGCTCTTCATCTGTTATGATAGTTTTGAACTTTACTTTCTTCAGATGAAAACTAGAGGATATCAAAACAGCCATGATATGTAAGCATTTCACAAGACAGTATCATTTTTAATTGCTTTTAGACATATTTAACAATGACATTTCAAGAACAGCTAAAAAAATTACTTACTTCCTTTGTGATTGTACATCCATGAAGAATTCAAAAACATTATTGAGGATTATAACATCAACTGAAAAAAACATTATTGAGGATTATAACATCAACTGAAAAAAAAATCAATATTGAAATATAAACAAGTTAAAATAACACCAGAGATGCATGTTTTAATATAAATTCTTTGGAAACTCATTCTAAAAAATTATTTTAATTTTAATATACCATATTTGACTGCAAATAAGCCCCCTCTTGCAAATGAGCCCCCTCCCCACTTTGGCAAATGTCCTGAGAACAGTGTGGGTGCCTGCAATTAAGCCCCCTTGGCCTTCCTAATTTTGTCTCTCAAAGAAATATGTGAGTAAATTTTTGTCTCTGACTTAACCAAATTAGCCAACTGGATGCAAAACAACATAAACCCAAGTTAAAATACTACAAATAACTATGTTTCTGAATTAGGCACAATAGTAAATAGCATGTAGTGATGTGTACTCTGTGATTCTGTTTTTTTTTTTATAAAGGATAATGTAATTATGTATTCCTGAATGAATTAAGGATTAATATTATAACACATGATTATGGAATATGATGTAAACATAGCAAAATATTTAGAAATCTAGATGGCTCAACTTAAAATAAAACATGGTTCTGTTGCTGAAAGAACACCATGCTTTCATTTTTAACCGGTTGTGTATTTTGTAAATTCTAATGTAAAACGAACAAGAGGCCTAATGGGCCTGAATTGCTCACCTGGTATTAATTTCACACTTGTTATCTTAAAGGGGACTAAAATACAACTACAGGCAGAATATCAGTGTTTGATTAATAAGAACCTATTGAAACATTTAAACATATGACACCCGTGACCTTGAATGTCGAACAAGGACATTAGGTTAAACAGAATTTATAGTCTTCCAACCCAGCATGCTTCTAGCAAAATATCATTACCCTGGACTTTTTGGTTATACATAACAAATCATTTATAGATTTAAACATATTTGACCCCTGTGACCTTGAATATAAATCAAGGTCATTTATTTGAACAAACTTGGTAGCCCTTCATCCCAGCATGCTTCTGGCCAAATATCATCACCCTAGGCCTTTTAGTTACTGAGAAGATCTTCTAGAAGTTGTTTCAAGTAAAAAGTTAATGCCGGACAGACAACGGACGCCGCACCATGCCATAATTATATAAGCTCACTGGGCACTTCAGGCCAGGTGAGCTAATAAAAAATTTGTACCGAATCAATTGTTGTCAATCTGTGAATAACATTTTTGAACTATTTTGAACTACAGCAGTTATTGACCAAAATCTTGTACTACATGGTTTGGAGTGTGTGTATCATACAAGCGGCCCATGGGCCTTAACGGTCACCTGATATATTTATACAGAGAGTTGATTTTGTTTTTAACATGAACAGAAATATTATTCAAAGCGACAAAAAACAATAAAACCACCTTATTCGATATCTAGCATACAGATTTAAGGCTAAAAGGTATTTGAAACTAGCACCTCTGATTCTAAACAAGGAAAATGAAGAAATTTTAGCACACTGACTTGTTTGGGCCCCACCCTACAGCCCTTGGGGGTAGGGCTGGCTCAAAATTTTCAAAGTATCAAACTGTCAACTCAAGGTTATAATTCCAATCAAGTTATTAACATGTAATATTCAAAGTATCATTTGCCATTATAAACCATAATAAATTTT